CCCCCGCAACAGGCGGAACGGTCGGCAGCTGCAGACGAGAGCCGGGAGCTGGCGCCGCTACGGAGGGAGAGGGAGCAGACGGGTCGTGGACAGGGGGAGGAATTTGAGCGGCCAATGGAGGGACCACAGGAGGCACATGCGGACGAGGAGCGACGCGCGCCGGCGCAGCCCGCGGCGAGCTGCTCTGGCTCTGCGCCGCCCTCTCCTCGCGAACAGCCCGGGACACTTCCCGCTGAAGATCGGCCATCGTCACCGGCGGGCGGTACCCCCCACTGCGCCCGCGGGGACCCCTCCAGTCCACCTGACCACCAGGGCGAGCAGGCCAGTCACGCTGCTGCTGGTGTCGCCGAGGAGAATCGCGACGGCGACGAGACGACTTGCGATCTTGGTGAGGTAGGGGGGAATGTGGGCGAGACGATCGGCGACCAGGCGACGGCGGGCGCACCGGCTGACCATCCAGGTCCACTGTCGCAGCAATAGGCGCGGATTGCGCCGCCGCTATCGGCGCGATCGACGGAGCCGGGCCGCCAGTGGTGGCGGACGCCGCCTTCGTCGACGAAACAGAAGCCGGTGTCGGCGCGTCGGGGACAGAAGCAGGCGGAACTACGGGCGCCCCGGATACAAGAGCAGCCGCAGGAACAGACGAGCCATCTCCCAACACGGCAAGGGGACCCGCGGGTGCGTGGGGCAGAGTCCTTTCAGCGTCTGTTGTCGAGGGCGTCGGAGCCGGCGGTACAGGAGGTTTCGACGCCGTGGTCGCCATTTCGGCCGGAGGCGGATGCTTGGCCACGACAGCCGACCAGGCGGCAGCGCGCTCTAGCGACGGCTCATCTGCTCCAGCAATCACCATCGGGGGATCGGGGAAGCCGCGGAGGTAGAAGACAAGAGGCAAGCGGGACAGGCGGGGGACCGGAGAATGGGTACCAGGCGGCGGCACGTATGGCTTTAACTACCTTGGCTGCAACTCATGAGGAGGAGGAGCTTGCGGACCCATCTTATAGGGAGGAATCCCTCCCACCTAGCGAAGACGGGGAAGTGGAGGGCGAAGGCGTGACGAGAGAATCTGGAAGGAGAGGAGCAGGCCAAGGGGGCCGAGCACCAGCAAACACGACCCAGGCGGGCCGGGGACCGTCCGATCCAGATCGCGCGGGTGACAATCCAACCCCGGTTTGGCCAACATCGGCGAGCCGCGCTCGAAGAAATCGGACCGCCACGACCACCACGGCGGCGCGCCAGAACACCCAACTCCCTCACTATTTCTCGCCTGACGAGCTGGCGAGGCGTGAGGATTTGTTCGCGACGATTGCAGACTGGGACATCGCTGCGCTCTGCGACAGTCGACAGCCTTCGCTGTCACGGCGTTTACCACCAAATCTGTGCCACCTATTTTCGCAGGCACTCCTGACACCATTGCTACACCTCTCACGAAACCCCGAATCCGAGCCTGGATGGCGCCTGCTGTTGTTTCTCCCGCGCCTTACACTTCGCCAAACCTCGCCACAGCGTCCAGATTGGCCGGGGGTCAAGACCCGACTCCGAGCTTTCCAACGTGGCAAATGGGAGCGTCTGTACCTGGACGCGGCTGACGCAGTCAACACGCCTCCTCCGCCGCGCCACCAGCCCGACTCGACCGGAATCATTAGCCGAGCCGAAGGGCTCGCGAAACGTGGCAGTTTACGTCGGGCCGTGCTGGCTTTGGAGTCAACGCCAGTCTGTACCCCGAGCCCGGAAATCTTGGAAGAACTGCGTCGGAAGCACCCTCCTGCGGCACACGAGGCGGTGACTTGGCAGGTCCAACCCGAGTCAAAATTGTCCATCTCCCACGATGAGTTTGCGAAAATCTTGGGGCGATGTGAGAACGGAGTGGGAGCCGGACCGTCGGGCACAACATTTGAGCACATGCGCGACGCGGCCACCACTAACGCAATAATCAGCACCCACCTGCACGCCTTGGTTAACACCCTGCTGGGGGGAAATTTGCCAATCCCAGTGGCAAACCTACTCACCGCGTCGCGATTGATTGCACTGGCCAAACCGGGGGGGGGGGCCCGGCCAATCGCGATTGGCGAATGCCTGACGAGATTGGCAGCCAAGGCAGCCTTGACAGCCATGGGAGAAGCTGCCCAGGATTATTTCCTGCCACTACAGTTCGGGGTGGCAGTGCCAGGTGGAGCGGAGACGGTCATACACACGGCCAGGGCATTCCTGGATGCCCGCCCGGACAGCCTGGTCCTGCAGGCAGATATTTCGAATGCGTTCAACAGTATCTCGCGACAGGCCATCGCCACCGCGTTACACGACCCCAAACTATCGCCACTGCAGCCGTTTGTGAAATTGACTTACGGTAACCCGTCGCCTCTTCTCCTGGACGCGAAATTCAACTGCGATACATTGCATAGCGAACGGGGTGTGCGACAGGGTGACCCACTTGGCCCGCTACTGTTTGCAGCGGGAATACACTCCACACTCCGTGACACTGCAGAAGCACACCCCGACGTGCTTTGCTTGGCGTATGCGGATGATGTCACCTTCCTGGGTGACACCGAACGCACCGTAGCCGCCTTCACGCACTTCACAGCTAAACTAGAGCAGCTGGGCCTGTCGTATAACCCACAAAAATGCGGGGCATGGCGTTCGACGGCAGTTGCGCGGAGTCGATTACCGCCCGGGGTGCCGTTCGCCAAGGAAGGGCTCCGTCTCCTAGGCAGTTACGTGGGGACAGACGTTGGTGGCGCGGGGTTTCTATCAGGCCAACTCACGGAAATGGCGAAGCCGCTGCCATTGTTAGAACGGACAGACCCCCAGGTGGCGGCGCTGCTGCTCACGCGTTGTATTTCCCGACGTGTTGCGTACCTGATCAGGACGACTCCTCTCCACTTGCTCCCTCGCGCCACATGGAGTCAATGGGGTCGGGACCTTCTCATCACCTTACTTGCCTCGTGTGACATCCGCGCGCCAACCTGTAGCACCGAGCAAAAGCGAGTCTGGGAGCAGGCGTCTTTACCGACATCCCTGGGTGGCATAGGAATTACGGACCCGCTTGTCGAGGGAATATACGGCTTCACCGCCAGTTTTACACAGGCGGCGCTGTTCCTCTCCTCCCTCGCGCTAGAACCAGACAGCGTATTGACGATGGCTAGGAACCACATGTTAGCGCCTAGGGATGACAGCACCCCCCTACACTCGTGGCTCACGGAGTGCGAAGCAGCCCTGCCCCTAGACGCGCGAGAGGTCTTAGAGAAGGAACGGCTGGAGCGGTCGGATATTAGGCTCCAGCACGTGCTCGGCCTGAAAGTCCACGGGAGCAGGTATGCGGTGCAAGTCCAGGCAACTCGTGACATGCAGCTGAACCCTCTCTTCGGCCACACGCAGAGGATGTTCTCGATGACTGGATACGCCACCGGGGACTGGCTGACTGCGATCCCACTTGAGGCTACCAGACGGATAGGCCCCGTCCATTTCACAAACGCCGTACGGTTCCGCCTGGGCCTCCCCTTTTCAACCCCCAAAAATTGTGACTGCGCGGACCAGGTAGCTATCACGGATCCCCGCCTCCCGAACCATCTCCTCCGCTGCGGCACAGGCAAGCATCGCATTAACACACACAACGAGCTGCGCGATGCATGCATCAGCATGGCACAGCACGCCGGGTTCATTGTTCACAGTGAGTCGGCGGTTTACTGCCCCATCGAGGAACAAACCGCAGATTTCACCATGACCGACAGGAGCAGCGGAGCAGTTTATGTGTGCGACGTGACGATCACGGATCCCATTAGCACAAGGGATCCTACGGCGGAGAAGGGCAGGGGCTGGGCGGCTCGGGAACAAGCGGACAAGAAAATCAAACACTATGCAAATCGGCCGGAGACGGTGGGTTTCTTCCCACTTGCGGTGGACACCTATGGCTGCCCGTGCGGGGAAGTCCCGGTCTTCCTCAAGCTCCTCGCAGAAACAGCGGCTCGGCGGCACTTCAACGCCGACTCTAAATCCTTTTATGCCGCCAAGTTTCTGCATCTATTCCGGCAGCGCTGGTCAGTGGCCCTTCAGAGAGCCCAATCGGTGGGTCTCCTTCTCAAGCTCGGCGAGGCAGCGGCTGCAGAGAACCCGCCGGTAGGAGGCATCGGCCAGGAACTTCACCCAGGGGATTGCTTTGCGGTGGTTGAGCCTTACCTTGAGCTCTAGAGTGTGTAGTTGGTAGGAGAAGTTGTGTTGCAAGCTCTGTCCTAGTACCCTATGAACCTGCATGCATGTACTTGACCCTCTATCAATACAAGGACCATTAGAGAGAGAGAGAGAGAGAGAGAGAGAGAGAGAGAGAGAGAGAGAGAGAGAGAGAGAGAGAGAGAGAGAGAGAGAGAGAGAGATGGCATAGCTTAGTCCTTAGCCATTTCTAGGCCCCTCTTCTCTAGGATCTAGTCCTTAGCCATTTCTAGGCCTGATCCCTTAGTATAAAGGCCCTGGATCTAGGCTAGTGAGCTCATTATTCACTGGTGAGTTAGGATCACTCTCCAAATCCAGCGGCTCGCGCCGGCCGCCTTCGGCGGCCGCCGCTCGCCAGCGCGGCCTTCGGCCGCGCATGAGGGGTGGCAAGGGTAGTAGCAACATAAGTCCTATAGCAGCATGTGGTACATCAAGAGCCACTAGCAGGGCAGAACAACGACACCACCCCCAGGCGAGGGAATCCCGCCATGGGGAAGCCCAAGGCGAGGGCCAGCACCACCGGAGCCTCCAAGGGAAAAACAACAGTCACTCGGCGAGGATCCAGCACAGCCTCCCATCCATCCAACGTAGGACGGAAGCGGCAGCTGACACAAGGCCGAGGGGGCCCTCCTGGGCAGACTTAGCTAGCCTCACCATTGCTCGGGGTCCGGGTCCGAGCGCTGCACCAGGGGCGCCCGGCACGAGGCCGATCAAGGGAAGATAGTGCAGCATCTCCGTCGCTGCAGCCATCGCCGCAGAGCGCTCAGCGGGCAACATCCCGTCAACCTCCAAGCCTTGTCATGCCAAACACACGTGGAGCTGGTCCAGTACGTACGACAGCAGCGTCAAACAGGTCCCCACGTGCACAACGCGCTGCTCGACGAGGGGAGGCAGCGCACCTGCAGGAGCGGCAGCAAGAGGAGCAGACGGGACAGGAGGGTTTGGCGGCGTTGGAGGAGGCGGCGGCTGACGCAGTTGAGGCCGGGGCAGAGGGGGATGTCGCTGCTGCGGGGTCAGGTTTAACGCAGCGGGGGGAGCAGGGTGCTGCGGTAGAGGCGGATCCGACGGGGACGGGGCGGGAGGCGCACTCGCCTGCTGCTGTGCGTGCAGCCGCCTCTGACGACGACTCAACCTCGCCCGCTGCGGGGCCGACGGCGCCACCAGCGGACAAGGTTGTGGCTGCGGAGGAGGCGCATGTGGAGCATGGGTCGGCTGACTCACCAGCGCCATTGGTGGCGGTGTCCCCATCACCTCTCGGGGAGGTGGAGATTGCGGCGGTCGCAGCTGAGGCAGCGAGGCAACCAGAACAACCCCCGAACGAACCGTTTGCGCCAACTGCCGCTGAGTCCGCTGGAATGTCTACTGTTGCCGCGGCCGTAAACATGCGGGAGTGCGGCCAGGCAGCGGATGGAATTGAGGGTCCCGTGATCGGCGTCGCTTCTGGCGCCGCACCGGCAAGGAAGAAGGTGAAGCTACGCGCCCAGCCAACGCCGAGGCGGCCCGGAGCAGGGCTGGGGCCTGGGGTCCCGGGACCCCTCCTAGGCTGGCTTCCGCAAGGGCAGTCGTCACCAGAGCAAGCGCGTTTGTTGTCATCCGCACCACAGCCTGCAATGGGTACCGGCGGGAGGGGTAACACGGAGGCAGCTGACCGTGCACATCGGGGAACCGAGCAGCCAAGCAGGATGCAGCAACCAACGGAAGGATCGCCCACGACCCAGCAAGCAACTCACCGGGAAACACGTAGCTCGACGAGAGGCCGGGGAATTGTGTGGGGCAGGCCGTCGGGGGCAGGACGAGCGACAATGGCAACTCCCTGGGTGCCGGCCGGTCAGGGTTTAAGGTCTGCGCAGGAGAGCGCGAGAGGCGGCAGCGCTGGCGTACTCCCCGCGATCCCCGGTGGAGGCAGAGGGGGAAGAGGAGGGACACGCTGTAGGGGAGTTCCACTCCTGGGTGGCGAGGCTGCAATCGTAAGATCAGGCACGTGGCGTGATCGCCACGACCGCCCGGAGCGTACACCTATGCCTGTGTGTGTGAATGGGGGCGAGGAGGGTTCTGAAAACTCCCAGAACGGGAGCGAGTTTATCCCCTCGCACTCAGAGGCATCGGAGGATTTGGTCTCCTTGGGCGACGATGAGAACCAACATGTGTCGGCGCAGGGGCGAGTGAGGAGGACGGAGCAGGGTGGCATGCCACAACCACCCAACATGCCAGCAGGACAGGACCCAGCTGTGCCACCACCGCCATCCGAGAAATCGCCAACTGACCTGGCAAAGGATGAGTCTTTCTGGCACCTGGCCAGCACTTGGGACATCGCACCACTCCAGCGTGCGGATCAACCGTTCTTGGTGAGGCGGTTGCCCCCAAAGATTCTGGAGAGCTACACCCTATGCCTTCTGGCCCCGCTGTTGCGATTGGCTGAGAAACCAGACTGTGTGGGGGCGTGGACGGTGCTGCAGTTTTTACCCCGCTTGACCCATCGACCTCTACCAGAGCCAGTGGACGGGAACCGCAGGATCAAGATTGAGACTCGGCTGCACCACTTCAGAATCGGAGATCTTGCCGATCTCTACAGTGAGGCATGCGCGATCCTCGATACTGAAGCCCCGTCACGACACCAGCCAGACGAGGCAGGCCTGTGCGCGCGAGCAGAAGGCTTGATAAAGAAGGCCAACATTTCCAAGGCAGTGTCTGCGTTACAAGTGACCCCGCTGGCGGAACCAACACCTGCTACACTTGCAGCTTTACAGGCAAAACACCCTGTCGGGGAATTACCAATTCCGAGCTGGGTAACCAACCGCACCGGTGTACCTGCCTCGTCATTGAATCTGGCCCCAGGCGATCTCCGCGAAGTGCTAGCGAAGAGCCCGAATGGAGTTGGAGCGGGCCCCTCTGGCACTTGTTTCGAGCACTTGAAGGACCCGGCCCACAGCAGCGAGCGAGTCCTACTGCTACTCACAAAGGTCATCGGCCAGCTACTTAACAGTTCACAGACAAGGGAGATATGCGACGTGCTCCTCCCGTCACGGCTGATAGCACTCGAGAAGCCAGGGGGGGCGTTCGACCCATCGCTATAGGCGAGGCCTTGCTTAGAGTCGCGGCGAAGGCGGCGCTACGCGAGTTAGCCCCAGCGATCCGTGAATTCTTCCTCCCGGTCCAGTATGGCGTGTCAGTGCCTGGTGGCGCCGAATGCGTCATACATTTGGTACGGGCCCTGCTCCGAGAACATGACAACTACGTAGCGCTCCAGCTGGATGCAGAAAACACGTTTAATTCGGTTGAGCGGGAGGCGTTCTTCACGGCGCTAGAAATCTCGGACTTGCACCAGCTGCTACCGTTCGTAGGGCTGCTGTACGACTCGCCATCGCACCTTCTAGTTGACCCGGCCCTAGGAGTTGAGCACATCTTGAGCTCCCGCGGCGTGCGTCAGGGCGATCCCCTCGGCCTTCTCCTTTTTGCAACAGCGATTCAACCGACCCTAACGTGCATGGCATCTTCTCATCCAGGGGCGGCAGTCATAGCGTACGTTGACGACATCACAGTGGTAGGGCCGCGGGAGGAGGTGTTCAAGGCCTTCGATGCCATCGTCGAAGAGCTCGTAAAGCGCGGGCTACGGTGCAACGTGGCATAGTCATCGGCATGGGGACCGCGAGAGGGAAACGAGGGGCAGTTGGGACTGCCACAGGGATTACGGATGAGCACCGGGGGGATCAAGGTGCTTGGCAGCCCCATCGGCACGCCAAAGTACTGCACTGCTGAGATCCGTCAGGCGCTCGCCAAAGCATCGGCACCTGTCCCTCTTATAGCGCAGCTGCACCCACAACACGCCCTGCTACTCCTCTCCTGTAGCATCTCCCGCAGGATCTCCTACCTGCTTCGCACCACACCAAGCATCACGTTGGACCGGGAGGAGTGGAGAGGGTGGAGCGAGTCGTTGGTAGGGGCGGCGCTTATAGCCGCCAAGCTACGGATCCCTGCGAGTGAGCTGGAACAGAGCCTCTTGTGGCGTCAAGCGACCCTGCCCGTGCGCCTTGGGGGGTTGAGCATCTTTGATCCCGTTTCTGAGGCACCGGCTGCGTATATTGCATCCCTGACAGCAGCGCATCACCTGCTGCAGCAGATGAACTTGCGGGAGCAGGAGCTGTTGGCATGGGCCGAGACGCTGCTGTCCAGAGATTGGGTCCCCCCGCCCCCAGCGTCAAAATATCTGGTGGCACTAGAGGACGGGCTGCCGACAGAGGCACGGACAGCACTACAAACCTACCGGGAAGGCCCCAAGGGGCAGGGTAACCTGCAGCTCCTCTTGTCCAAGCACATCAACTGGGTACGGGCCAGGGAGCTGCTAGCCGACACTATGGTTGACAGACCGAGGGAAGACCAGGGGCACGGGGTACGGCTAGTGAGTTTGAAGGGAGTGGGGGCCGGGGATTGGCTTCACGCAGTGCCGACGAGATCTGACCTTACATTTGCCCCTGGTCAGTTCTCGTTGGCACTCGGTTTCCGCCTCGGGATGGCCCTACCAGTCACGGTCAAATGTCCCTGCAAACGTGACAACTCGGAAATCAAGGATACTAGCCTGGCGAATCACATGCTCCGGTGTGGGGAAGGGGGGGACGTGGTGAGGACGCATAACGCCCTGGTCTACATGGCTTTGAGATTGGCGAGGGAGGCGGGTTTCAACACCTTCCATGAGACATCGGTGTTTTCCCCCCCAGTCCACCGCAAGAGGGCAGACCTGGCGTTCCAGGATAGGGAATCAGCGGAGACCTGGGTCACGGATGTAACGGTGACCGACCCAGTGCTGCAGAAGCGGGACCCCAGGGTGCAGAAGCCACCGGGGTGGGCTGCCAAGGAAGCTTCCGAGAAGAAGCACCGCCTTTATGATGGCCGCCCTGACAATGTGGGGTGTTTCGGCCTAGCAGCCGAGACCTACGGGGCGCTGGCGACCGATACTGTGCAGTTTCTTAGGCTGCTAGCTGTGGCCACAGCGAGGAAGAAATTCAGGCAGGGGCCGCTCACCACCACCGCCTCTCTCCTCAATGCTCACTACCGCCAACGCTGGTCAGTCATGCTGCAGCGATCCCAGGCGATCTCGTTCCTTAACAAGAGCAACATGGCAGCCGAGGCAGCCTTCCCCCAAGCACCTGCGGACCCCTGGGAGCCGAGCCTAGGAGACCTTTGGCAGGTGCTTGATGATGACCTTGCAGGAGTGTAAGCGCAGCCGGGGGTGAACCAGGGATGTAGGGTTGAACAGGAGGTTGTGAGGACCTAGGCAACTCAATTGGTAGCCCCAGGCCTGCCATGGCAGTGGCCACTTGGTGAACTTCCTTAGCATCTCATTGCTGGTCTTGTTTACATGCTGGTTTATCTGCCCTACATGTTGCCTACCTAGGTTAGCCTATCGGCCAGTGTCATATCCTGCATGCCTGTACCCTTTCACCAACATTAATGCATGACTGCTTGAGAGAGAGAGAGAGAGAGAGAGAGAGAGAGAGAGAGAGAGAGAGAGAGAGAGAGAGAGAGAGAGAGAGAGAGAGAGAGAGAGAGAGGTAAGGGGAAGGGGCGTCGGCATGAACATTTGCGGGCATTGGATCTAGCTAATTGTATGCAAAGCCTACTAGCCAAACGCTCCTGCTTAAAAAAAGCCCAGGCCAGAATTACCGAGTCGGGTGGCAGAGCGTCACCACTCTCACGCGATTGGTCCAGAGTTTCACGTGGGTTTCGACACGATTGGCTTCCGATTCTCAAACCAAACTGCCGCAGTGGTTTTTCTGAACCTACAAATTTTCCAGTGACTTCGTTGTGTAATTCGGGTCTTGAGTTTTTAACGAAGCCCGCCCCATGTTGCCCCCACACCCATGGTCCACTAGCTACAGATATGCCGGAGGGTGGAACGATCGAGGGGGGTGGCCCCTATGAGTTCGCGGTCACTGACAAGCTCGTCATGACCATGGGTGGGCGCCTGCGCACGGCATTTCAATGGTGGAGCTCGTGGTGTGAGAGCAGTTTCATACTCTTGGTGATCGCCAATGGCTACCGGATGCCATGGAAGTAGGGACCACCCACGCCGTTTCGGCAAGACAACCACGCGCGAGCGGTAATCCATTCCGCGTTCACCAAGCAGGCAATAACCGAGCTTCTCGAGAGTGGTGCGGCCACGCCCGCCCCCGCGGAACAACAGCTATGTATCAGCCCGCTAAATGTGGTGGTTCAAAGAGAAAAGTGCCGACTGATTTTTGACCTCCGAAGGGTGAACCAAAATTTGTGTATCCCCAAATTCAAGTACGAAGGACTAAACCGGGTGGCAGAGCTCGTTCATGAAGACGACTGGATGTTTGCTGTCGATTCAAAATCATGATACCACCACGTTGACATCCACCCTTCCTGCTGGAAGTTCCTCGGGTTCCAATTTGATGGGCGCTCGTACGTCTTTCGATCTCTGCCATTTGGGCTGGCGACAGCCCCGTTCGTTTTCACACAGCCCATCAAGCAGCTCGCCCGTCGTTGGCGGGCTCTCGGGGTGCGAGTCCTCCCTTACGTCGACGACATCATTTTTCTGTGTCGCACAACAGCAGAAGCGCGAAACACGGGTCAGATGGTGGTGCAAGACCTCAGCAAGGCTGGACTGGTTATCAATTCTAAGAAGTCGCACCTGCAACCCACCCAGCAACTACGGTTTTTGGGTGTCGAGCTGGATACACAGTGCGGCCAGTTCTCCATTGGTCCCGAGCGGCGAGCATCGTTACATTCAACCATTCACGAATTATGCATGGCTGGCAAGGCCGAACGCAAAGTTCCGATCCGCCACGCAGCCAGAGTTACCGGCATGCTCGCGTCGATGTCACTTGCCATCGGCGCAACCGCGCGCGCATTTAGCCAGAACCTACTACAGACCATTTAGGATGCCCCTTCTTGGAACAGTAGAGTGCAGTTGGTCCCTGCGGTCATTGAAGAGCTTGATTTTTGGCTACATG